AGGAGGATGGGACATAGCAGAGGGTGGGGGATGGGGAATCAAGGATGGCAAAACAAAAGGCAAGGTATGCAGGACATAAGAATTGGAAAATTATTTGCTGAGAACATGTATGTTGATGTGCTTGACTGAGCCAATGCACAGTGTATTTTGGATGGAAAATTCATTTGTGTGTTGTGATGGTGTATAGTGAATTAATGTAGAGAATGAATAAGTTTAAAGAAAAAAAAAGAACACAGTGACTCCCCTCTATTTCTCGAAAAAAATAGAGGAATTTACCAAAATGTCAGAGAAAGAAGTTAGAACATTCATGGTGACCAAATTCTGTGAGTTGGAATAGAAAAGAGACAATGACCTCTAGGAGATTAGGATGTCCTTCCATGACATGAAAGCAGAAATAGCCATGCTAAGAAAGAATCAGATGGAACTACTAGAGATGAGGTCTGTAATAGAGGTTAACAGATAGTTGTTTAAAAAAAAAAAAAACATACTTCATGTTTTTCCCTATATGGTGCATGTGCTAGCCAGAGAGACAAAAAGTGAGAAATCACCCCACCCCCCCGCCCGACCGTGCTGCAATCTCTTGTCCTCCATTCTCTTCTCGGGATCATGAGCATGCACACACACACACATCCGATGTGAGTTTTAAGCCACCAAGTCCAGAACTCCAACCAAGGTGGACTACATAGGAGTCCAGCAACATAAGCACTATACCAACTACTGGTCCCACTTCATGATTTTTTTGAAAAATGGTCAGTCCATCTAAATTGCAGATAATAGTCCATCTGCCCATGGTCCATCTTTCTTTAGTTTGATAGTTTAGAATGCATATAGCCCTAAAGTTTCTGTAAACTGGAAGAGGTTTTTTTTTTTTTTTTTCAACTGCAGATTCTATAGTTGTTTGTCTGAGTGGCAAAGATGAGTGCTTTTAGACTTCCAGCTCCTTTGTTTAGACCTTTCAAATCTTCTGACAACATCAACTAAAATATGATATGTTTGAATCCTCTTCATAGTGTAGCCTGTGCTTTGCTTCCAGCTTGCTGGAGAGTGAGAGTGTAACAGTTAATTTTGGATTAAAGGATGCCGAATGGTTGGTGAAGCATTGTTTCTAGCTGTGTCTGTAAGAATGTTGCTGGACAAAATTCGATGTAAGTCAATGGGCTGGGAGAAGAAGAGCTGCCTTCAATGTGAGTAGGCACCACACAGTCAGCTGAAAACATGGAGAAAATACAGAGGAAATGAAAGTTCTGTTTCCTCTCTCCCTTTCTCCTGACCCTTTCTTCCAGAGCTTGCTGTGTGTTCTCTCTCTACATATCTGCCTGCCCCAGGCCTCCTCCTCTACTTGACCTTGACTGTGTTTGTTCCTTCTAGCTCTTAATGCCTATTCTCCTATAGCCAGACAGACTTAAAGTTCTTAACTTTTGGATTCTACCCTCATACCAGTGGTCACTTGAGGGGGCTTGGGTCTACAACTTCCTGGGTGTCTCTTTCAGGTCTCAGAGAGTAATTGCAACATTTTCCTTCCTTGCTTGAGTTGCCCAAAGGCCCCTTCAGAAGTTGGACTGAAACTGCACAATTTGGCTACCTTGCTTCTGAATTTTTCAGCTGTTCCTACAGCTTGAAGACAGCATATTGCAGGATTTCTCCACCTTGTGATTGCGTGAAATAGTAACTACAGTAATTCTTTTCTTTTGCATATCTTTTTGGTTCTGTTTCTTTAGAGAACTCTGAGAGCCCAAGAAAATGAATAGAGGAGTGTAAATGAAAGCTTTGAAGACTAATGACACAACACAATGTCTAATAAGACTCACAACTTTATTTCTGCTAGGAAAGAAAAAGAGGAAAAACAGATTTAAACAATTTTAAAAAAAAGATTTAAACAATTGTTTTGTTTTATCTAAAAATTCCCCAGAAGAAAGAGACCACCTTGAGTTAGAGATTAGGTGCTTTCCAAACATACTTCGTTCTTTAATTTTAATTCAATCATAAAATTCTTCTGTAAAAATCCCAGGAAAGCCCGGTTTATGAGTAACAAACTCCCCAAAGGCATAAGCAACAGATTCCCAAAAAGTAACTGGCTCATCTTAGACTGAAGCAAATAAAATCTAAAAACATTAACTTGCATAGTCATTTTAAATTATTGCTGTTCTTTATAAAAGTCATTACAGGTAATTCTGTTCTAACTTACTCTTCTCTCTTTACCTCAAACTGAGGACTTTCTAACAAAATTATGACCTACTTTCCAAATGAAGTTTTAAGGAGGGTTTGCAAGCACATCTATGAGGTCCAAGGAATTTGCATGGAATGAAGGAAGAAATAAATAAAATAAATAATATCTAATAAATAACTCAGACAAAATTCACTTTCTACAAACTTAAATCTCATAATATGCTAGCCTCAAGGATAGATCCTCTCACAGCCACTCATGAAGATAGGAGCAGTATATACTCAAAAAGCACATAGTATGGCTTTATAAATCATTTTACTTGCCTAGTGCCTCTAGGGCAGATCACAGTGAAGGGAACCATTTTGGTGGCTGGTAGGGTTTAAGTTCTCTCTGCAAGGCTACTTTCAAGTGGATTTACAAACTAAAGGTGCAAAGCATAGCAGGGTAAGTGCTGCAAGCAAAATAGAAAGAAAATAATTTAGATGTAATAAATAAAAGGGATAAAAACACAAGATGTACATATACACTGGCAGATTTTAGGTATTAGCTGAACTGTAAGAAGTGGCATACTATTCAATCTTATCCATTTTATTCACTGGCTTCATTAGTGTGCCCTGCATGCTAAATTTATTCTCTCTGGTAGTAGCATTTAGGCTCTTAGTTTGACTTAAATTGTTGTCCTGGCCAATTGAACTAGATAGTAAAATATTTCAGATACATTTCTCTGGAAAAAGATAAATGCAATAAAGTTAGTGTTTATATAATGAAAAGAGTAGTTACATGAAGAGAAATAAACAACCTATAGATTGGGTTTAACCTGTGATGAAAACATAGATTGGCAAAAGCATTCACTGACTTTGGATTTCATTTCTGCATCCCTAAGTCTGATCACTTGAAAGTATATTTACAATATGTAATAACATATCATACCTTAAAAGTAAGAAAGAAGTAACAATTAAAGGTGGGGAAGATAAAGGATTGCATAAATGTTGGAAATATACAAGCTTGATCAATAAATAAATTGATTTGTGCTTGTGCTTCTGAAAAGTATGATATCAGTATGAACAGAGGTTTTTAACCAAATGAAATTCCTATTGCTAAAGAATATCCAGTGGTTTTCCTATGGGCAAGTGTAACCTATAGAGTGTCCAAACTATGGCAGTTAGTATAGCCTGATAGCCATTTTCTTGCTCTTTAATATGAACCTGGGTTGTGTGCTGATTCCAATAGCAGCACCTGAGCTATATCAGAATTTCCAGAGCCCTCAGGTTATGGAGGCCATGAAATGGTCTAGATAACTTCATTATGTCCCACTGTCATAGGAGTCTGAGGTTTTAGTGAAATGTTTTCCATGCCTCTAGCACTGAGGAAAGAGATTTTGAAATATTATCAAGAATAAAGTTGGCATGAGGCCTTTTTTTATGATTCTTAAATCACTAAGGTAGTTATGTTCAGCATTCAGTCCAACAAGAAATAGAGTTAATGTTTTGTTATTCACAGTGACAGCCAAGTTAGAAGTTCAGCTTCTGGAAGCTATTATTAGATAGATGCAAAGAAGACATCATTCAGTCCAAACAAACTTTGTGTTCTGTGAGCCAAGAGATGTGCACCTTGTTCTCCCATTGGCAATTCCATTTGATCATTCCATGCACGATGTCCATCGCCTATTATTGCTCTATTCTTTCAGTTTCAAGAATTTTATTTGTGATGACCGAAGTTATAGTTTCAGAACCGTGAAGCACTTTTGAAATTACCTAGACTTAAAACACCTGCCTCATATTACTGATAAATAAAGTCCAGAAATGTAAATTAATTGGCATAGATTATTCAATGAAATTTTTGGCACCACTGAATGAGGTTTAGGTCTTCTGTTCTATTTCCACATGGTTTTAAGTCATAAATGATTTTGCTTGAAGACCATAAATAAAATAATCAATACAATGTGAGAAATTGATGAGAAGAAAGAGTGACAGGTATGGGAGGGCTTAAACAGACTAGGACTATTGCATTTGATATGAAATTTTAAAGGACCTTTTAAGGTCACTGAATCTTCAGCACAATCATTTGAATTATGGAAAATGTCTCTATGTTATTCCGTGAAATACTGATCTTACTGCCTTAATCAGTGAAGATTGTATTGAGTTGGGTCCCGATACTGTGGTGGGGATATGAATCATAGGACATGTCTATGGGAACATCATAGCGGGGAGTACCAGCCTGAAATGGAGTTGAATGCACATGCCCTGAGTTTAGGCTTACAGAAGGGTAATGTGGCATGAAGCTGTAGGATTTTTCCAGGTCAGGAGAGCCATCTTGCTTCAAGGAGAAGTTCCCACTGATGCTCAGGGGTGGAGTGAGTGGACCCTCATAAGGAGGTGTACTGCAGTCAGTTGGATGGCTCCCAAAGGATGATTCTCCCAAACTCTTGAATACTTGGGGCTTGAGATGAAGAAGATGTGTTTCCATATGGCCATAAGGAGGGCTGGGGAGCCCTGGAGACTGATAGTTGAAGTTGTGGACAGAGATAGAAGAGTCACATATAGCAGATTTCTCCTCATGCTTCTCTAGGAGGACAGACTGAGGGCCCAGTTGGAGGCATCCAGCCACCAGGTTGCTTGTGGGCTGAGAAAGTCCCTTACAGAGCATCTCCACAAAACCCTTCCCTTCAGGTGTCTGGCCAGTCTCCAGGACTTCAGACAAAGCCCAAATGTAGTTCCTGGCCAGTCTAAGAGTTTCTATTTTAGACAGCTTTTGAGTTTTAGAGTAGCATGGCATGACTCTCCTCAGGTTGTCCAAGGCATCATTCAGGCCATGCATCCGGGTCCGTTCTCTAGCATTGGCCTTTACTCTTCGAGCCCTGAATCGTTCAAGGCGAGTTTTGGTCATCTTCTTTTTCTTGGGACCCCTTCTCTTAGGTTTTTCCCCATCTTCTTCTTCCTCTTCTTCCTCTTCAATACTGTCATGCTCTTCAGTTAAGCTGTCAAGCATCCCATAGGCAGCTGGCCTTCTCTCCTCCTCCTTCACCTCATTTTGAGAGCCCAGACCTTTCTCCATCCAGGATTGTGTGCTGACCACATCTACCATTTCCTTGGATTTTACATAAGTTTTTGCCATTTCCAGATGCTAGAAAAAAGAAACAGCAAAGATTAACTCCTGTGAACACCTGGTTTCATTTAAAACTAATTTCTTTTTATAGGTAGAGCTCAAATATTTAGTGAGATTCAACTTATAATTATCTTGTGTAAGTCTTCCATTCTAAATCACTAGTCCAAGACTCAAAGAAATGCTCAGCACACTCATCTAAGTATGACATATTAAAGGAAAATTAGCTATTAAAAAAATGAACTTGATTATTCACAATACTAATTCTAACTCTTTATTTTAAGATTCTGTATCTCATGGATATTTTATGCAAAAATTATTATATCAGCCCAGAAATAAAATTTGCTTTCTATGAAGAATTCAGAACATATAAGTAAAGAGATAAGTAGGCATACAAATTATTATCTAACTAGAAGAATTTAAGAAAGTGAAAAAGGGTAATAAAATAATTATAATGATAGGATATGTATGCAATAATTATTACTGTGAAATAAAAGTATGTCAAATAATTAAATAGACAAACTTTTGTATATTTACAGCATAAAATAAGAGAAAAACTGAAGCAAGATCATTCAGACTACTCTTTATGTGTTCTACAATGGACTGCTCAACCTCAACCTCTCTTTAGGGGCATTTCACATAAATCTACCCTGTAATATGCTGTGCTCTCCACTGGCACTGCCAATTAGTGGCTTCAAGAATCTCTTAGGAAGTGGCCATTGAACAACTGGCTGATAGAGCACATGACCATCAAACACTTCTCTCACCATCACTAGAAGAACATTTTGTTTTTTCGGTAAGCACCTTATCTTCTGTCTACTGTTAGTGGTGTTAGAGGTGTCTTTAAAAGATATGGAAAATAAAGGAGGGTTCTCACTAAACATCTTTCAAATTTGCCCATACGTTAAAAAGAGAATTATTTTTATTACACATGAATCTCAAACAACAGATAAGACATGGCAACAGCTAGAAGTATAATCCAGTGGTTTACCAAATTTACTCATGGTTATTTTGGTGAAACTACTATAATAATACTTTATTTAAAATGAAAAATCCAGAACAAATGCTAAACTATAAAGAACATAGTGACTGCAAATATAAGCAATGACTATTTCAGCCAAATACAGAAATAGCCTGACTACTTTAACCCACTTGTCGAACGGATACTGCTTAATCAGAATTAAAAAAAAAAATTGCCAGAGGTCACATGTGCTTGCCAGAGAGAGAGACAGAGAGAAGGAAAGTAAGAAAGTATCCCCCCAGGGGAATGGTCACACTGCAATTCCTTCTCCTCCATTTCTCCCTTCTGTAAAGATTTTGGCCATGCACACACATGTGCCCCATGTGTTTCTCAAGGTGACAGATCTGGGACTCGAACCACATAATCAGCCATATGGGATCCAGTCTCCTTAACCATCATACTGCCTGCTGGCCCTAATCAGACTTTTTTGTGTGTGCAAGTTTTTTTATTTGAAAATCAATAGAAACTGGTGGTTTGGTAAACATTTTGCATACAATTCTGGAAGAGTTTGAACTGTTTAGAAATTTATTGAGTAGTTTGTAGGTATCCAATCTACCAAATAAACTGGAGTCCCAGTTTACCAACTAATCTTTGAAATATTAAACCCTCCATCATCTTTGCTTATGAGAACGAGAACACAATGTTTTTTGATCTTTGAAGCTTGATCCTCAAATCAATGAATGCAGGGATTAGTACATAGCTTTTAAAAATATAAATATATTATTTGATTTGTTTCTGGTAATTGGAGCTTGTTTTCCTTGTAACCTCATTTACCTCCTATAAATAATTAATGTTACTGCAATGCGAAAACAGCCCAGGTTTCATGTTAATCAGCACGGAAATCATGTCAGCTTGACTTACTCATTTAATAAGGCTTCCTGGGTAAGCAGCTTTATGGAAAACACACATTGGAACCTATTGGTCAACTGGCTGCCCAGGCCAAGTCAGAAAATCCCACTTTTAATATGGATGATGGAGCTTGTGTGCTGAGCTGCACTTCTAACTCAGGCAGATATCCAGAGGGAGGTGAAAGACCTAATTAACTTTCTTATAAAGTAACACAGATCTTCCACAGGCAGGTGCATTTTGAGGCCATAGAGGATGGACTTGGCTTGGGAAACCTAATGCTTCCCATATAATTATGATAACATTCATCTAGCCTTTTAAGGTTTATGGAGCATTTTTTCATCCACTAATTTATATGTTTCTTATAGCCAACCTTTGAGGAAGGTAGGAATTGTTATGCTCATTTTATAGTTTCCCTGTGGAGTAAATAGTTTGAGTAATGGAAATGCAAAGGCATAGAAATGGTAGAACAGAACATAAAACCAGTCCTTCTGACTCCAAGTCCTGAATTTTACAGTTTCTTTTTTTCTCCTTTCCTCTTCCATCACAGCCAGAGAGAAAGAAAGGCACTTTGACTCCAAGAAATATAAATCAGTAAAACAGTCAGCAGGAGTTACCATAGTTCAAAGGGAAGCTAGTTCAGGTGTTACCTAAGGTATCTTTTAACTCTCATATTCCAGAACTCTTGCTCTTTCAAATGTTTCCCTGGTTCCTTTTACCCATATATCCCACCCTCCTTCTCTTCTTCATCCTTTCTCTTTTTTCTTTGCCTCCTCGCTTTCTCATATTCATTATCATTATCACTGGGTCCTACTCAAATGCATAAAGAGGAGAGAAGGAAGGAATTGAATAAGGAAGGTTCAAGAGAGAAGAGTCTCCTGAATTACCCTGGAAGTGAACACCACACTAGGTGGGGCTTTTAGCCTTCTTCATCATCCCCACCTCTCTATCTCTGAAATCTTTCCAAGATTTGTCAACACTCATACCCATCAAGATGTGGAATTGGGAGAAGAGAATAAACCGCACTTTGTCTTTAACATATTTGATGGTTTCTGAAAAAGTCAAGGAACTGCATGCAAATAAAATTGTCAGTAGGTACTAAAGAAAAGAACTAACTGGGTTTGACCAAAACAATGAAAAGGGAAACAAAATTTCACCTTGGTCTTCTTACTAACCATGAGAAAGACATCATGGCTCCAGTTTAACTTCCTCTGATTCCACAGATACTGGTCTGTTAACTCTAAGAGAATTTTGTGAATATATAATGTGACTTCAAAAGAATGGAAGCTGGAATAATACTGATGTGGACTTCAGTCTCATTGGTGTTGATCTCAAACACATTACATAAGCTCGTTCATTTTCCCTTTAATAGAATAGGAATAAGATATATTTTACATGATTCTTAGAAGACAAGTAAAAATGTAAGGATTCTGTAGCATCAAATGTTATAAAACATTATCCATGTATTTATTTTGTGTTTTTTCTTGGTTTTTGTCATCTAACCCATTTACACGCTTGTTCATTCAGAAGTAAAAATTGTTTCTCACAGGTGAATAATGAAAGTAGATTGTACTGACTACTGGGTCTTTTTATCTAAATGTTACCTCCTCTGATTGGCTCAGAAGATCATCTGACAATTGCCTAGGAGTCTGCTCCTTTTCCCAGAGAAAAAGGTGGGCTGGACATCCCAAACTCTGGAGTCAGATTACCTGGGTTTAAATTTCAACTTCACTACTCACTAGCTATGTTGTTAGGCAACTTTCATAACCTTTCTCTTCCTCAGCCTTATTCTCTTTAAAATGAGAAATAATAAAGTCTTACATCATAGGATTATTATGTGCAAAAATAAATGAATATATTTAAAGCTTTAAATAATGCTGGGCATCATAAATTCCATATATATGTTAGATACTGCTATTTCTAAACTTAACCACAAGTTTTTCTGGCCACTTGGGTAAGAATAAGTTTACTTATAATCTGTGCTTAAAATTGATTTGTGTCAGCAGAAGCCAAGGGCTCCATTTCTCTGATATACCTACTCCTACCATCTCCTAATAAAACTAAATTATCAAAGGTCCTACTCTCCTGCAATGGGTGAGGAAATTCAACTCTATCAGGTACTTTCACTGAATTGACTACAACTCTTCCATCATATTCAAAATAGAAGTTAACTTCCCAATGTATATTCTGTTTTATAATTGAGATAAAGCAGTTGACTGAACGCTCCTACTTAATCACAGAAATTGCATATTTGTGAAGCTCCTGGTAGAATATAGAGAACCATCAGCACTTCAACAGTTTATATTTGATTAATCAGTATTAGGAATATGGCTATCCTACCAAAACCAAGTGGCATAACTCTTAGGAGAATATAAAGTATCTCTTAAATGGAATCAAAAAGACTCCTCAAAGAAAAATCACTCAAGATGTCTTGAAGATAAAGGGGGAAAAAACTTTCTCTGACTTTCTTGTCTAAATATTATAGTTTCAAGCCATCTGAAAGGGTAGCAGAAAAAAAGCAATCCAGTTTTAGGTTTGGAATTAAAAACGGGTGCAGTGCAAGCAGGCTCTGTGGCCTGGTGTTTGAATTGTCTTGATCCCACAAAGCCTATTCCACAGTTCAAGTCTCAAACCTGGTGGCTTATTAAACACACCAAGTATATGTTTGTGTGTGTGTGTGTGCACGTGTTCAAAATCCCTGAAGGAGGGAGAGATGGAGGAGAAGGGATTGTAGCAGGACCACATTCCTCACGGGAGAGTGCTGTCTTCTTTCCCTCTCTCTGGTGAGCACACGCACTTTTTAGCTAAATAAATAAATAAATAAATAAATAAATAAATAAATAAATAAATGTGTGTGTGTGTTGCAATTCTGAGCTTTGATCAAGGATACCAACTGAGTTGTCTCCAAAACAGGACCCTAAAGCTTATATTACTTATAGCCATCATCTCAGAGAAAGAAGCATGAAATTAAGATCCTCTTTCATCACCCACTTCTTAATGAGCACAGAAAAATATCTTAATTCTTTTAACCTTAGGACAAAATGGAAATTATATTTTTGTTTTTTCTATTTCATTTAGAAGATTCCATCAAAAGCAAGTAGGTAATGCAAACATGAGTACTTTGAAAAAGTCCTACACAAGGGCA